ACGACCGACTCCGCGGACGGACGACGGCCGACGGCGGCGACCGACAACGACCGCTTCGAGGCCGACCGGCGGCGCCCGAAGCACGCGGCGAGAGGCATCCCGCCCGACCCGCCAGGGCGGGCCCGCCGGCGCTGGCGCGCTGCTGTCGTTGCGGCCGCCGCTGGGGCGCCATGAAGACCCCGGGAGCCCGTCGCCGGTGGTGGCCGGCCCAGTCGAGCGAGCGCCCTTGCCGTTGCCCTCCTCCCCTCCCTCCTGATTGCCTCTTTCCTCCCCCCTCCTCCCTCCTTCCTCCCTCCTCGTCCTCCTCCCTCCTCCTCCTCCTCCTCCTCCTCCTCCTCCTCCTCCTCCCTGCTTTTCTCTCCTCCTCCTCCCTGCTTTTCTCTCCTCCATCCCTCTCCCCTCCTCCTTCCGCCCTTTTCATCCCTCCTCCGTCCTCCTTCCTTTTGACAGAGACCACACTCTGATCGGCGAAGATCGTAGCACTAGGGTGGTCAACTAACAAAAAGAGAGGGAACCCATTTAGGCGATATGGACTCAGTATGGCTGCGAGCAAATGCTGGAAACATGAAGTCATATTAGCATGGGGAACACTAGAGGAGCCCGCTGGGACGCAGAGTAACTGAGCGAGCGGCCAGTAGAAGGAGTAGCAGAGTAACACAAACGCAGCCATCACCATACCTGATCGAGGGAGAACCCTGAAAGGGTAAGAGACTATCTGCTAAAACGTAGTGCGGGGGCAGCTGAGTTGGTGCGTGTGAGTTAGAGTGGGCGATGGAATTTCGTCGGTAGACCACAGGTTCCGCATGAGACAGTCCCCTATCGACGGGCCAAAATGGCCACATGCAAACGACAGAGCACTTCTCACCCACGGTTCTGAACAACCCAACCAACCACAACATAGTCAAGATCCCAAGTAATCATATACATTGTATGTGGGTGATACCGCTTGGCTCGGTGTGGGTAAAGAAGCGAGCAGACTGCAACTTTACTGGGCTGGCAATGGCAGTGGCGGTGTGTGGCAAAGGAGGAGTCAAAGAGGGAGGGGAAAGAGCGTTTGATGCGCTCAGCCCTATGGGCCACAGCCTGTGGGGAGCACCAGTTTCAAGTACGCGCTCTCGCGTGGGACTTCCTCGCAATTTATTCAAACGCCGCGTCCTTGGCGCTCAGAAATCGCGCTCTCGCTCTGGTTTTCTCGTGAGGGAGGGAGGGAGGGAGGGAGGGAGCGGAGGAAGGAGGAGGAGGAGGAGGAGGAGGAGGAGGGAGGGAGGAGGCAGGAGGAGGAGGGGGAGGACTCTGAGGAGGAGGAGGATGGAGGAGGAGGAGGAGGAGGAGGAGGAGGAGGATGAGGAGGAAGGGATAGGAGGAGGGGGAGGAGGAGGAGGAGGGGGGGAGGAGGGGGGAGGAGGGGGAGGCGTGGAGGAGGAGGAGTGAGTGAGGAGGAGGAGGAGGAGGAGGAGGACCAGTGTCAACTCAGGACTCATCAACGATTCTGGAAGACACCCTCCAAGCTCCCTCTTCATAATCAGGTCCCTACAATGCCGTAGGCCCGTGTGGGCACACCCCTCACACGCTTCGTGCTCCAACAGGGAGCTTCACCTACTGCCCCCAGGGGACGCGTTCGCATGCCGCCCCTCACCCATTGCAGCACACCGCCCACGCGTTTCGTGCCCCCCTCATAGGGAGCCTTACGTACGGCCCCAGTGGCGCGCGCTTGCATGCTGCCACAGGCCTACTTGGGTACGACCCTTCCACGCTTCGTGCTCATACAGGGAGCTCCACCTACGGCCCCGTCGGGCGCACGCGAGTGCCGCCCCACGTTCATTTCGGCACACCCCTCACTCGTTTCGTCCCCTCCAAAAGGAACTCCCCCAGCGGTCCCAGCGAGCTCGCGCGCATGCCGCTCCCTGCCCACTTCGGCACCCCCCTTCACATGGATCGTACTCCACAGGGACCCGTACTCCATCATACGGCGCATAGTTTGTGAGGGGAGAGAATCGCCTTGCGCTACACGCAGCTACATATGGTTTGGCCTTCACCAGTCTACTTTTTGGAGACGCCCACTGGCAGTTTTTTTGGGATGGGGTAGTCTTCCGTTGGCTGGTCGAATCGAGCAGGCCCCCCCCTCAGGATCGATTCTCAACGGCGAGATTTCGCGGCTGCTCTGGGGGCGTTTTTTAGAGGTCCTCGCCGCCGCGGGTGGACGCAGCTCGACATATTTGCCAGGATGGACGGTACAGCAGTCTAGAGGTAGACGTTGTGCGAATGTTGTTTTGGGCCGGTTCAGAGTGAATGGGTACTGGGGGCCAGCCCCCGCCCGCCGTGTCTTGGGCCAGGCACGGCGCAGCTTCTACGACTCTTCTTCTGGCGAACAACGGAGCGCGCCGACCGTCTCGCGTGCACTAAGACCCTCGCGGCAACGGGGGCAGGGGTGCGCGAGCAACGCGACCGCTGCGAGGTCCTAAGCGCGACCACAGGAAGGTCCTCGCCGTTCTCGGGATCC